TTTGGAGATAGTGAAGGCTCCAATAGAGCGTAGGTCAGTGTCGGTAATCAAGAATAAGCCGTTAGGTATGCCAGGTCAAAAATTCCAGTCTTTATTGAGTCTCTGTACAGAAAGTCGATATATAATCTCTAGTCGCTATCTCATTCGAATTCGAACTGATCGTCGTTCGGCTAAACTCGGCCCGGGGGGATCGGGCCTCCGGCGCGGTGCCCGTCTCGGACGACCGCGGCGCTGCTGAGCGCGCACCGCCACATATATATATGGGGCATTCCACGTTAAATCGGTCACTTTTGACCCCGACCTCTTTCGATTTGGCTGAAAGTTTTTTATCCTATGCTACCCTATGAAAAACTATTTTTAGAATTATTTCAAATTTTTTTACCAAACCCAAAAAAAAATTTTGAAAAAATTGGCTCTTTTCTTTGAAATGGATATAACTTCTTTAAAATTCAACCTATTGGAACGTTTTTTTTTTAAATATTTGTTTTTAAATGTACTTTTCAGAAAAAAAATACAAAAAAATTTCAAAATTATAAAATTCATGAAATTTTCGCATTTTTTAAAGAAAAACCGTTATTCTCTCGAAGTTTGCCATTTTTCATTTTTTTTTTCTAGAAAAAAACTTTGTCTAAATCTGCGATTATCTCCGCTAGTCCCAGAGTAAGCTGAGTTTGTTTCCTATTTTTTTTATTTAATTAAAAAATTTTTTAATTTATTTTTGTTTGTAAATTAAATTAATGCATTTAAACAGTTTTACAATATTATATACTTAATTTATAGTCTCAAAATACAAAGTTAAAAAAAAAAACATTTCAACCTTTCGTTTTTTGCTGTAAGAATATGATGGAATTATTTCGTCATTTTTATGTCAGAACATATGACTTAATATTGAGGTCATAAATAAAGTCACTTCTCACTTCAAAAATTTGAAGATGACTTTATGACATACGTATGACATCATATGAAGGTCTTGTGTTCACTGGGATGTCTTTTACGAAGGGATATACATTTTACTTTAATAAATGTTACATCATATTAATTTCATTCGCACATATAAAAACGTATCGGCACTATTCTGACGCTGACCCTTACCCCAACCCCTCCCCCATAATCTACCGACTTTCTTTTAATTAAATATGCACAAACTTGCGGTTATACCTGTTATTGCTGTTATACCTGTAATTCTTCTCTTCTTTGAAATAATCAACGACAACTAAGAGATATTTTTTAAAGAGAATTTTATAATAGTTTATCACACATTAATTAGTTTCTCTTAGTGACTTGGATAAAAGGAATAAAAAGGAAAGGAATAAAAATTAATATCTACTACGAAAGCTCCGCTCATCTTCTAGCTTTCCTTTTTGAAGTAAAAGGTGTGAAAGTCCATCAATTTACTAATAATATTCTAAATACGTAGGTTGGAACTTAAATAGTGGCAACTATTTATTCACAACCGATACAAAAGAGTTACATGTTTGCATCTGTTACTGTCCTTCAAAGTAGTCACCAGTGTTGTGTAGAACCCGTTAGCAGAGCCTATTCTGTTTATGGTGCTAATGGAGCGGTCTACTGCCTGTCAAATCTCTGGAACAGTTCTGAAGCGAATGCCACAAAATGGAAATGGTGGAATCACCATAACTTTCACCATACTGGGGCTCTGACGCACTTTCAACTTTCGCGGCGACCCATAATGACGCCATTCATTAGATTGGCGTTTCAGTTTTGGTTCCAGAGATTTGACAGGCAGTAGACCGCTCCATTCGCACCATCAACAGAACAGGCTCTGCTAACGGTATACTACGCCTTCCACATCGCTGGCAACGGGTTCTACACAACGCTGGTGATTATTTTGAAGGACAGTAACAGGTGCAAACATGTAACTCTTTTGTATCGGTTGTGAATAAATAGTTGCCACTGTAGTAAAGGAAGAAAAGGACGATTTAGTAGGGAAAAAGAGAAAGAGAACAAACATATAGGATTGAACCTGCGAGAGAATGAGACAGAATATACCTATACAGTTCTTCCTATTAGTATAGGAGCTAGCAGCGTTTTCGAGAGAGAATTTCAGTTCAGCTAATTTTTTGATATGTCGTTTGTTCTTGCTCCTTCGGTTACAGCTTGGTACCTGGTTACCCTTAAACGAGAAAGAAAAAGCTTGGCAGTTAATTCTTGATGAATATAATTCGTCAAGTATTATTTCAGAGAAGGTAAAGTTCTATGTTATAATTATGTTGCATATCAAATTAATTATCATTTTGAAAATATTTCAGAGGTCTATTACACAACTTAAAAAACTTTGGTCCAATTTAAAATTGATGCAAAGGAATGCTTTAACTAGAGAAAAACAACAGCGACTTTCAACCGGAGGAGGTCCAGCCGTTATGGATGCCGAAATTGATCCTGATGCTACTATCATTGCTCCGAATGTGATGAAAACAGCACCAACTTTGTTTTCGTCTAACATGTTGGAAGAAGAAGTTGAAGGTAAGCACTATCTGTAATATTAAAAGTATTATCTGTGAGAAAATAGTTGAATTTTTTTTCATATATTGAGAACGATACCAAGTAAATTAGAATAAATACATCTATGTATTTAAAAATGATATGTTTATATGATTTATTATAATACTGAGATGTATTTCAAACTTTCTATAAGTTGATTCTAAAAAGCATTGAATATTTAGTTACACGTGATTCCATAAATAAAACGGAACGTTTAGAAGAATTGTTGAATAATAATAATGATAGCTTAGAAGATGTACAAACAGAAGAGAATTCTTCTGAGCCATCAACGTCCCGTGGAATTAAGAGACCATTAAGAGAAAGTCAGTAATTTCATTTATTATTAAATGATAACTTTAAAGAAACAGTGATTGAAAACTATTTTTAAATTGTTGCAGCTTCAAAATCAAGCAAAAAATTTCGTAATGAAAATATAAATTCAGAAGAAAACAACTTACGATTGTACCGACTGCATCGAATTATTCATCATAAAAAACAATTATTTTCTTTAAAATTTAAAAATGAACAAGAAATGCATGATTTAACCATCAGTCGTATGAGACGCAAATTTAAGTTAGAAATTCGAGCAGCCAAAGCAGCGGCTGAATTGGCTGAGTTAAAGTTACGAAAAGAGCATAATAAGGATTCAAATAACGATTTGTAGATGGTAGAGGACATTAATTAATTCATTAATTGTAAGGATATTTTAATTAATTAATAGGATATTAATAGGATATTTTAATTACAGTTCAACTTCAACTTCTTCTTCCAACACATTAGATGAAAAAAAAGTTGGTGCTGTTTTCATCAAATTCGGAGCAATGATAGCAACATCAGGATCAATTTCGGCATCCTTAACCCTTTCGCTACGGAAGTGTTCTCCGTCGGAGTGACGCCGTTGAACGGGCCACTGTGCCGCCGGAGTAGCTGCACTGAACGGAGCACTACGCCGAAAAATGTGCACATCGCGCTTACCAGAGAATGAGACAAGTGCAATCGATGTGCAGTATGCGTAAAAAAAACTGCCGATCTGAAGTCAGGTGGCTGACGTCGTCTATAGGCGACGCTCGTACACACAGGACATCGCACGGATGTCGTCTATAGGCAACGCTCGTAGCGAAAGGGTTAATTGCTTAAAGTAGCTGTTGCTTTTCTTCAAAATGATAATTAACTTGATATGAAACATAATTATAACATAGAATTAAATGCCAAGCTTCTTCTTTCTCGCTGAACGTAGCTGAATCAATTTTTTTTATTTTCAACTACATTTGAAAATTTTTTTAATATCTCAAGGAAATACTTTTTTTCGATGTTTGTATAATTTTTTGTATAAGCACAAAAAAGTGCAATTGTTAGTTTAGTTTATATGCAAATGGCAATAAATGTTATTATTGAATAAGAAAATAAGATATAATTAATATATTATAATACCAAAATCACTGATAATAAAATACAAAAATATTTTTCCAATGTTTTATTTTTTTTTTTCATAATTGTATTCCGACATTATTTTATAAATTTATCATTTAAATACACAATTGCAAATCATTAAAAGTTACGTTCAATAAAAAAAAATTATATTTCAATTCAAATAAAAAAAAAATATATAAAAAATAATAATATAATAATAATATAATTA